AGAAGAAGAAGAAGAAGAAGAAGAAGAAGAAGAAGAAGAAGAAGAAGAAGAAGAAGAAGAAGAAGAAGAAGAAGAAGACAACAACAATACGTTTTTTTTTTACTCCTCTCACCTGTTGAACGTTTGTTCTAAAGATAACAAACGCGACTCGCTTCCGCTCTCTTGGAACCGGAGGTAGGGAAGAACACAAGTGTTCTTGGGTGAGGAGAACAGGCCTACGTAGTGCAGGTAAATAACAACGGAAGATGAAAATAGAAAGAAGGGGAAAATAAATCGTGAGAAAGAACAGATAATCATACGGATGATGTTATAGTGTGGTGGAGAGAGATGTAAAATATTGAATGTTGGCAGCTTCCTGTTGAGTGAGCGGGCGCTGAATCACCTCCATGTGTATTTTTTTATGTCACGGGTGGTGCTGAAATGTGAAATCTTCTGCTTTCCCGGCTTCATCATAAGCGTTTTCTAACCCACCTTGAGAACAAAAATGTATCCTGAGCCCGAGCTTAGAAGGTGAGGGACTCTCTACCCGCCTCCACCCCCTTCAACACCCCTTTGCGTTACCTCATGCCGGATGTATGTGAGTGTTCTGAGGCGCTCTATAGATCGTCGCAATATCTTCAAGGATTTCAAGTTTTTCTCTTTTGTTGCATTATTGACAGGTAATTTCTGCACTTCCCTCCTTTGTGAAGGTGTTTAATATTTATGCAACGATTGCTCTGGAATGTTTGTGTGGTTTATGTTGTAGAAATGCTGCCAGACACATTTCATTTGTGAGGTGATTTCGGGGAATTATTTATTTTGCAAGAATTCAAAGGTTGACCGGATCAAGAAAACGTCAGTTTGGGGCAAGAGCACATTAATATTGAACAGCACAACAGCTGTTTTATGCCCATGCCAAAGAGTCACCTGACTGGTCACGTGAGACGGTCACTACTGTCAATGTACATAAGACACCCATGCGCACACTACGCACTCCAGGGGCTCGTTAATTGTGGTTTTCCCTTTTTATTAATTCAATAAGGTGTGGATATTTATTGTTATCTTGGACGTTGTTCTCCTTCCTCGCCGTGTGCTTTTCCGTGTGCTTTTCCGTGTGCTTTTCTTTTCCTCGAGAGCGGAGCGTACTTTCGGCTCCCGAGTCACCAACAATCGGTTTACGTCAGACGGTAGAAGAAATAGTGTGTGTTACATTTTGCGGTGTGATTGATTCTATTCTTGTGTCATGTGAATAGAGCAGTAATATTTTTTTTTTCAATTAATGTGTTTGTTATTACTTTTTTTTTTGCAAGAAAAGGGGTTGGAATAAGATGTTCTTTTTTTTTTTTTTTTTTGCTCCTCGAGTCATGGAGAGCACATCCGTGTCAAGAATGTTGACGATTTAATACATTTTAAAACATATTGTTTCCTTTGTGCAGAACTGGACCATTATATATCGTATTATTATTATACAAACGCGTGCGAGCTCACACTCACTCACACGCAAACGCGCAGAGAGACAGACAGACAGACAGACAGACAGACAGACAGACAGACAGACAGACAGAAACACACACACACAGTGTGTGTGTGTGTGTGTGTGTGTGTGTGCGTGCGTGCGAGAGAGAGATAGAGATAGAGAGAGAGAGAGAGAGAGAGAGAGAGAGAGAGAGAGAGAGAGAGAGAGA